GTCGTGGTTTAGTTGGTTGGGGAAGTTTTATGTCGTGGTTTAGTTGGTTGGGGAAGTTTTGTGTCGTGGTTTAGTTGGTTGGGGAGGTTTTGTGTTGTGGTTTAGTTGGTTGGGGAGGTTTTATGCCATGATTGAATGGTGAGGAAGTTTACCATTGTAATTGCATTATGAGGAAGTTTATTTCGAAGCTGAGTTGCGAAGATTACATTGTGGTTGTTGGATGGTTGGGAAAATATTGGCGTGGAGGAAAGCAGTGAGGTAGTATGGAGAGAAAGAGGAGTGGGGTATGGAGGCAGGTACTGGGGTGGTCACTTTCCACGTACCCTCTCCACCCTCAACCCTTTACCCCTTCTACCTGCATTTCGTCATCCCCGTCTCAGTTCATAATCTTTAAACGCCATTTTTTCAGGTATAGGTGTTGAGTTTACCTCTGTTAATTTTTTTTTTACATAAATTACCCTTCATATGATTTTGATATTTGTATGAAGGTGACAGTATAAAAATCAAATTTGATGCTGATGATAATGGCAGCTGCTGAAGACTGAAACAATGAAGGTGTGATCGAGGTAGACAGACATATAAACAATAATGAGAATAGTTATCTTATTTACTTAATGGCCAGTCTTGGGTTATTTTGAAGCCCAGTGCTGTTTTCGATACCACAGTTTAAGCTGGTGGACTGTTTCAATAGGTCTACCATCCCCTGTGTGAAGAAGTATTTGCCTCGTGTTCGTTCTGCATGACATCTTAGCGAGCTTGAAGTTGTGTCCCTTTGAGCTGGTGTTGGTGGCGTGAGACATTTTGTGCGCAAGTAGTAAATTGTCCTTAAAGTGAAGGAAAGATTGAACAATAACAGGGGTCACTGGCTGCTCTAATTCCTAGTGTTTTTCGTCACATTACTTATCCTGTTGCTGTTCTTACTTGTTTCTCATTATCTTATCCATTAATCTTATCTATTTCTTGCTATTTACACATTTTTGTCTTGTATCTCAGTCGGTGTTGAGTGTTTTATTGCCCAGGTTGGTTTTGTTTATGTTAAACCTCAAACTTAGAAAACGGATCCATTTTCTTTCATTGTTTTCATGGTACGTTTTCTTTAATCATTTTATTTATCTCTATTGTGTTTTTGGAGATAGATAGATAGATAGATAGATAGATAGATAGATAGATAGATATTCAGTAAAATCATCATACATGTATATAAACAAATCAGGGGTATAATTATCAGTGATGTCTTTCCGTTCGACCGCCTGTATCAAAACATATACTTCGCCATTCCACAAATTTCTCCAGCAACTATTATAATGGACCGACATTATTTTTGGATTATTTGAAGATTAGACCACCCTAGCTTGTTTCACCTGTAGACTAAGTGCTGTTAATGTTACCTTGAGGGGTTTGGTTTGGTTTGGATAGCATAGTTTAGGTTATTGTTAAGTTACCATGGGTTAGGTAAGGATAGGATACGTTAGTGTTAAAATAGGTTAGGTTAGCGTTAGGTCAGGTTTAGGGTGGTTAATCTTCAGGCGATTCTCTTTTTGCTGCGTTCTTTTTCCGTCGTCACTTATCTTCACTATTTCTTCAGCTATAATACCCTGTTAAATTCTCAGTATTTTCCTCGTGCTCAGTAAGTTAAGTAAGGGGAATTTTCGTTTCCAATAGGTGGTAAGTGAAGCATAAATGATGGCCGGAGAACTTCATAATTCCCGGCATTAATTGGATTCCCAGGTAGTAAAGCTTTTAAGACGGGGAGTAGGATAGTCTCTCTCTCTCTCTCTCTCTCTCTCTCTCTCTCTCTCTCTCTCTCTCAGCTTGGGTGACGTAGCCAACTGGTATATCCTACGGCTGTTGTGGCTACAGATTTTTTTTCCGATTATCTCTCTCTTTCTCAAGCAGACTATTTCTTACGGTCAACCACGGCAGAAAATGAGGAAATACTTACTCTTAATTTAAATAACTTTAATATTCCTAACAACAATAACAATAATGAACTGCTGTAAGTGTTGTTTGCTTGTTACTCCGGTGGTGAAGTCCAATTCGAAGCAGTTCACTCAGATCTCGAAGCCTCTTATAAGAAATACATTCATTACAATAGTCAAAATTATCCACTCATATTTCATAAATCATCATAGAAAATAAACAACAATTCCAGAAGATATGAAGTTGTTGAATTCGTTGTTGATGAAATAATTATAGGGCAGGGTCGTAGGATTCGAAGTGGTTTATTCGTTGCTTCTGAGACAAGGTGGTTCTTATGTAAAATACCAGGAATTAGGGACAGACAGGTTCGTTGCCTCCTGACCGTCGACGGGGAAGGTATACAGGAGGGCTCAGGTGATGAGTGTCTATTGTTATGTTACCTGACGTATTGTTGGCTATAATTGGTCACGATTTTTTTTTTATTGCGTAAAAAAAAAAGGTAATGTAATGTGAACTGGATATATGATATTTCTTTTGTTAAAATTCGTGCCAGAAATAGTTTAGTTGTGTTGATGTATTTGTTTATATTAGGAGAAAGAATATGTTGGCTCATGCAGGAGAGAAGGATAGTGTTCAGATTAGTTTTATTCGGTAAAAATCATCATACAAATTTAAATAGATTCAGTATTTGTATAGGCAATGGAGGTTAGGTTAAGTTGTCAGGTAGGTTAGGTTAATATTAGGTGAGGTTAGGTTAGGGAGGAGAAACAAAGGTATCTTGTACTCATTGGGAGGTTACCGACTTGTAAAACACCATCAACAAATCCTGGGGAAAAAATACGTTTAGGAAACTCATATATCAAGGCGGTGACCCACAAACTTAAGACATTTCCCTGTTGACTGTCAGCCCGGGAGTGACAGATTACGGTCGTGCTCAAAAACAAGAAAAATTGGTGCTGGTCGTGCTGTCATGTCGCCAGGTGAACCGGAAGCGCAAGTTTAGGAGACGTAAAAACAACAAGAGGATTACCTGAAGTTTTACGCCCCAGCTTATTTCACCTGAAGGTTTACGCCCCCAGCTTATTTCACCTGAAGATTAACCAACCTAACTCTAACCAAACTTAACCTACCCCTTCCCCGGTAGTGTAAGAGTAGTTCTTCAGCAGGTGAAATAAGCTTAGAGGAGGGCGAATCTTCAGGAGAAATAAAGCTTGAGTGAATCTCCAGGTGAAATAAGCTGGGGGTGAATCTTCAGGTGATACTAACTCAAAATAATACTCTGGGAAATAAGGTGAATCTTGTGTAGGATTCAGTGTGATAAGTGTTTTAGGTGCTGTTGAGGGAGTGTGGTGGTGGTGGTGTCGTGGTGGTCGTGGTGTGAGCGGGAACAAACACCACCGCCTGTCTCCTTGTTTACACCGTGATAAATGTGGGTCTTTTGGTCCTAGATATTAACTCAGGGGGGTTAGACTTTATTTATGGTATTGATCACGTCAGCTCGGTCACTAGGTATACATATGTCTACCACCCATAACAGATTTTTACGTAGTTTTTGTAGATATTAAAGAAGTGGCTTTGTAGCGGACGACGTAGAGATGAAATATAGACCAAACATTTTCCTAACCTTCCTTCTACAGGACTAGATTTGAACAGTAATTTTTTTTTGGGGGGGGGGGGATAAATTTCTAATGTCACAACTGAATTAATGTTTTACGGGTATTTTAGAATATTTATCTCTTGAATGTGTTTGTTACCGGATCCATTGTTCAGTCCTTTAAAGTGAGACGGATGAGATTTTTATCGAACTCCCAGAAGGTATTGAGGCCTTATGTCTTAATTAAAAGTTAAGTAATTTTTTCGGTATTCTGACATGGGATTTATTCACTACTTGTATATATACCAAGAAAAATAATCTGTCTGTGATACTCCTTAACACTCACCAATTTATTTTGTTTTTATTTCACTTTTTTGTGGCTGGGGGGGGGGGGATATTCTTTTAATATTGTTTTATAAATAGAAGTAAAATTATGGTGTGTTGTTGCCTTAATTCTCGTGATTTTTTATTTATATATTTTACTTTAGTTTGAGTTACATTCTTACATCGTCACTTGTAAGGAATGAATATTTATCATGTGAACGTTTAAGAATCGTGACTGTCCCTCTCTCCTTTCCCTTTCTTCCTTTTTCTCCCCCCTTTACTTTCTCTCTTCCCTTCTCCCTTTTCTCTTTCATCCCCTCCGCCTTCCCATCTCCCGCCTTCCCCTTCTCTCCCTCCCCCCCTTCTCCTTTCCCTTTCATTATTCTCAAGTTTGATCATCAAGTCTCTCTTCCTGCTTGTAATGGTACTTGGCATCTCGGAGGTTAAAGGTGAACCAAACAGGTTGTCCCTCACCCTTTTAAACTACTTAGGGACACCGAGTAAGCTAAAATATTATCAGTCTTATGTAGAGAATATTTGGTCATGTAGCTCAGAAAGATATAATATTATAATAGATGAAGTTTCTCCGGCAAACGTGGAAGTGCATCGGTCGTAAAATCAAGAGATATTTACCCCGTCAAAGTCTGCTTGTGTTGGTTCTTTCATCAGTCTTGGGAAAAAATAGTTGTACAATTAACCTAACCATTATACTGTATATTAGTTAAATCAGTTCGATATTTGGTGTAGTCAATAAGAATGTTGTGTATACAGTATCACTTATGCCATTTACTCTTGTGTAACTTATTAATATAGTTAAATATTGACCCAGAGTAATGGCACGTTTTAAATTGTAGTTGATAAATGAAGTCAGTCCATTGGTTTGTATATTAACAAATGAGGTTTTAAATGTTATTGGTCCCGTCTGACACTGGTGCTTGTTCTGCTTCTTTCATTACACTGTTTCTACACTGATGTAAACCGTATTAATAAAACAGATTCAGCATAAATAAATATTCCCTTTTCTTCAGTAACAAACACTTGCCTAAACCATATATTAATTCAGACAATCAAATATATAAAATAAAGTAATTGATATATATATATATATATTGAACCTTATACTAAAGGTTTTCATTTTATATTAATTATTTCCATCTTACAGTAACGATCTGAGGAAGAAGGTGGTGAACGGAGCCAGCGCGGGAGTCATCATGTCCCATTTACCCAAGAGACCGCCCGTACACATTGAGTTCTGCGATCTGTCGTACTCGGTGTCTGAAGGCAGGCATAGAGGTGAGTGTGTGGCTCGATTGTGATGATCTGAGTGTGTTATAGGTAGGTAGGGGTGTGATGGGGTGCGTAGGGCCTGGGGGAGGGGGTAGGGGTGTGATGGGGTGCTGGTGTGCATAGGGCCTGGGGTAGGGGTGTGATGGGGTGCTGGTGTGCGTAGGGCCTGGGGAGGGTATGAGGGTGTGATGGGGTGCTGGTGTGCGTGGGGCCTGGGGAGGGTAGGGGTGTGATGGGGTGCTGGTGTGCGTAGGGCCTGGGGGAGGGTAGGGGTGTGATGGGGTGCTGGTGTGCGTAGGGCCTGGGGGGAGGGTGGGAGTGTGATGGGGTGCTGGTGTGCGTAGGGGCCTGGGAGGGGTAGGAGTGTGATGGGGTGCTGGTGTGCGTAGGGCCTGGGGGGAGGGGTAGGAATGTGATGGGGTGCTGGTGTGCGTGGGGCCTGGGGGGAGGGTAGGGGTGTGATGGGGTGGTGTGCGTGGGGCCTGGGGGGTAGGGGGTGTGATGGGGTGCTGGTGTGCGTGGGGCCTGGGGGGTAGGAGTGTGATGGGGGTGCTGGTGTGTGGGGCCTGGGGGAGGGTAGGAGTGTGATGGGATGCTGGTGTGCGTAGGGCCTGGGGGGGGGTAGGAGTGTGATGGGGTGCTGGTGTGCATGGGGCCTGGGGAGGGTAGGAGTGTGATGGGGTGCTGGTGTGCGTAGGGCCTGGGGGAGGGGTGTGATGGGGTGCTGGTGTGCGTGGGGCCTGGGGGAGGGGGTAGGAGTGTGATGGGGTGCTGGTGTGCGTAGGGCCTGGGGGGGGGGTAGGAGTGTGGGGAGTATAATTAAGGGAGTGAAAGAGGAGTGTTCTGTGCGATGTGTGTTTAGTAAATACATCTTTATATACAATACTGTTTGTCGGATTTAACTCCAAACTCTTGTAAAATTAATAGTATTTAAAGGAACAATATTCTCTGAGTAACACAAGTAAATTAAATCATAGTAAACATTATTTATAAACCTGTCTCCGGAACATTAACCGTGCTTATTATTTGGTAGTTTATTGATATATTTTAAACCACAATATATGATCAGGTGGGTAATGGAAAGGAGAGAAGGAGAAGAGGGGGAGAGAGAGAGGAACGATAAATGGGGATGAAAGACGAGAGAAAGAATAAGAGTGATGACATTGGGAAAGGAAAGAAAGCCAAAAGATGGAGTGTATACTGAGAGAGAGAGAGCAGCTGAAACATGTAGGTATGAAGAAGTGGGAGGAATACTGCAGGAAGAGACAAAATATGAGAGAGGGGGAAAAGCTGTGAAGATGAAAGCTATGCAAGGTTACTGACGGGGGTGAGGGATGGCTGAAGGGACGACAGCTACAGGAAATAAAGGAATTGATATTAGGTGCCCTTGACGATCTCCTGGGTCCTGTGTTGGGCCCTTGTCACCCCCTCCCCTGGGCCCTTGTCACCCCCTCCCCTGGGCCCTTGTCACCCCCCACCCCTGGGCCCTTGTCACCCCCCACCCCGGGGCCCTTGTCACCCCCCACCCCGGAGCCCTTGTCCTGCCCCCTCCCTGGGCCCTTGTCACCCCCCTCCCCTGGGCCCCCTGGGCCCTTGTCACCCCCCTCCCCCCTTGTCACCTTGCCCCCCCCCTCCCCTGGGCCCTTGTCACCCCCCCCTTGTCCCCTGGGCCCTTGTCACCCCTCCCTGGGCCTTGTCACCCCCTCCCTGGGCCCTTGTCACCCCCTCCCCTGGGCCCTTGTCACCCCTCCCCCTGGGCCATGTCACCCCTCCCCCCTCACCCCTCCCTGGGGCCCTTGTCACCCCCCCTCCCCTGGGCCTTATGTCACCCCCTCCCCTGGGCCCTTGTCACCCCTCCCTGGGCCTTGTCTTTCCCCTCCCTGGGCCCTTGTCCCCCCTCCTCTGGGCCTTGTCACCCCACCCTGGGCCTTATGCTATACCCCACACAAACTGTCCCCCCCACCCCTGGGCCTTGTCACCCCCACCCCTGGGCCCTGTCACCCCACCTGGGCCCTTGTCACCCCCCCACCCTGGGCCTGTCCACCCCCCCCCCACCCCTGGGCCCTTGTCACCCCCCCCCCCCACCCCCTGGGCCCCTGTCACCCCTGGGCCTTGTCACCCCCACCCCTGGGCCCTTGTCACCCCACCCCCCCACCCCCCTGGGCCCTTGTGCCCCCCCCCCCCCCACCCCTGGGCCTTGTGCCCCCCCCACCCCTGGGCCCTTGTCACCCCCCCACCCCTGGGCCCTTGTCACCCCCACCCCTGGGCCTTGTCACCCCCACCCCTGGGCCCTAGTCACCCCCCCCACCCCTGGGCCCCTTGTCACCCCACCCCTTGTCCACCCCCCCCACCCCTGGGCCCTTGTCACCCCCCCACCCTGGGCCCTTGTCACCCCACCCCTGGGCCTTGTCACCCCCACCCCTGGGCCCTTGTCACCCCCCCTGGGCCCTTGTCACCCACCCCAGGGCCCCACCCCTGGGCCTTGTCACCCCCCACCCTGGGCCTTGTCACCCCTGGGCCTTGTCACCCCCACCCCTGGAGCCTTGTCACCCCCCCCCACCCTGGGCCCTTGTCACCCCCCACCCCCTGGGCCTTGTCACCCCCCCCCCACCCCTGGGCCCTTGTCACCCCCCACCCCTGGGCCTGTCACCCCCCCCACCCCTGGGCCCTTGTCACCCCCCCCCACCCTGGGCCCTTGTCACCCCCCCCCCCCCACCCCTGGGCCCTTGTCCCCCCACCCCTGGGCCCTTGTCACCCCCACCCCTGGGCCCTTGTCACCCCCCCCACCCCTGGGCCTTGTACCCCCCCCCACCCCTGGGCCTTGTCACCCCCCCCCACCCCTGGGCCTTGTCACCCCCCACACACAGGCCCTTGTCACCCCCCCCCCTGGGCCCTTGTCCACCCCCCACCCCTGGGCCCTTGTCACCCCCCCCCCCCCCCCCACCCCGGGGCCCTTGTCACCCCCCCCACCCAGGCCTTGTCACCCCAGGGCCTGTCACCCCCCCACAGGGCCTTGTCCCCCCCACCCATGCCCCAGGGGGCCCTTGTCCTGCAGGGCCATGCCCCCCCCCACCCAGGGTATGTCACCCCCACGGGGCCATGTCACCACCCCCCACCCCAGGGCCTGTCACCCCCCACCCAGGGGCCCTTGTCCCCCCCACCCAGGGCCTTGTCACCCCCCACCCCCTTGTCCCACCCCACCCAGGGCCCTTGTCACCCAGGGCCACTGTCCACCCCACCTGGGGCCCTTGTCACCCCCCCCCCCCAGGGCCATGTCTACCCCACCAGGGCCTTGTCACCCCCCCACCCCCCTTGGGGGGCCATGTCCACCCTGGGGCCCTTGTCACCCCCTTGGGCCCTTAATCTTTGGGATCCTTTTCACTCCTGTAGCCCTTCCCTAGGCCTTTAAAGTTACCATAGGCTGACTACCTCTCTACTGGCCCACTGAAGCAACATTAGGGAGGGTACCACCACACACATTGCCTAAGTAAACTAATTGACTCTCCTCCCGGGCCTTAAGGTGTGGCGTTTGTGGTAGTGTGGTGAGTGAAGGTGTGGTGTTGGGTGTGTGTGTTGTAGGGTGTTGTTGTGTTGTAGCGTGAAGGATTGTGTTGTAGGGTGTTGGGTAGTGTTGTGGTGTGGTGGAGTGTATTGTAGATACCAAAATGACATAGTACAGCCGAATGATTGTCGTAGTAAGGCAAGGAATGTGAGGTCTGGTAAGTTATCTAGGGTTGGGATTAAGGCATTAGACGTTAATGAGCCTCGAGGTTTTCGGACATTAGGACCCATTTGTGTATCCTGTGGTGAGAAGTGTTGAATAAGTTGAGTTTGTGAAGGACTGGAGGTATACATAATCTCAGGGTAGGATAGGGATAGTTTGTAGAGGGGGTGAGAGATTGGATTCCATTTTGGTGTTAGTCCGCTGTCTATGTGCACTGCTCTCTGCCTGTGTGTTGATCCATGTGTGGTGTATATGTGTGTGTGTGTTTGTTTATTTGTGAATGTATTATGTGTTTATTTACTGGTGCATGTGTATGTGTGAATTAGAGCATTTCTATGTATATTTTTTATTGACTTTACCCTTATTGATATTAGTATTTTCTACATGGTATCTGTATACAGTATTAGCTTTAATGGATCACATGAAGAATCACCACCCCCTCACTAACCACAAACAGCCTCACTAACAAACAGCCTCACTAACACAAAGCATCACTAACACAAATCACTACCACACACACCAGCAGCCTCACTAACCACAAGCAGCCTCACTAACCACAAACAGCCTCACTAACTAAGCAGCATCACTAACCATTAACAGCATCACTAACCACAAACAGCCTCACTAACCACAAACAGCCTCACTAACCACAAACAGCCTCACTAACCACAAACAGCATCACTAGTTACATATTGATAACTTAAAAGAAACAAATGCAATACATATTATTTTTTTTCGCATAGGGTTAGGTTAAGATACCATAGGGTTAGGTTAAGATACCATAGGGTTAGGTTAAGATACCATAGGGTTAGGTTAAGATACCATAGGGTTAGGTTAAGATACCATAGGGTTAGGTTAAGATACCATAGGGTTAGGTTAAGATACCATAGGGTTAGGTTAAGATACCATAGGGTTAGGTTAAGATACCATAGGGTTAGGTTAAGATACCATAGGGTTAGGTTAAGATACCATAGGGTTAGGTTAAGATACCATAGGGTTAGGTTAAGATACCATAGGGTTAGGTTAAGATACCATAGGGGTTAGGTTAAGATACCATAGGGTTAGGTTAAAGGAATGCCATGGGGTTAGATTAAGATACCATAGGGTTAAGTTAAGATACCATAGGGTTAGGTTAAGATACCATAGGGTTAGGTTAAGATACCATAGGGTTAAAGGTTAAGATACCATAGGGTTAGGTTAAGATACCATAGGGTTAGGTTAAGATACCATAGGGTTAGGTTAAGATACCATAGGGTTAGATTACCTTCGGACAAATTTCTTGAATCTCCAGGTGAAATAAGTTAGGAGTCAGAGAGAGGAGGGATGGGGGTTGAATCTTCAGGTGATCCAATATATACTTCATTAACTACATTCCTATTTATGAACTTTAGATTCATTAGAGTAGTTTTATATTCCACAGGATACAAGACCATCCTGAAGGGGGTGAGCGGGAAGTTCAAGTCTGGCCGGCTCACAGCGATCATGGGGCCCTCGGGAGCTGGCAAGTCTACTCTGATGAACATAACGGCTGGATACAGGTGAGTAGGGTGGCAGTGAGAGGGAGGAAGTATGTGAGTGGGGTGGCAGTGAGAGGGAGGAAGTATGTGAGTGGGGTGGCAGGGAGAGGGAGGAAGTATGTGAGTGGGGTGGCAGTGAGAGGGAGGACGTATGTGAGTGGGGTGGCAGTGAGAGGGAGTATTTATGAGTGAGGTGACAGTGAAATGGAGTAATGTGTGCCTTTATTGTGTGTGTGTGTGTGTGGAGTGGAAGTGAGAGGGAGGGAGGGAGGAGCGGGGTGGCAGAGAAGGAGTGCAGGAGGGGGGGCAGGAGACGGAGGTGTGGAATTGGGAGACAGGAGAGGGAGGGAATGTGTGAGGGGGTAGAGAGGAGTGAGTGGGGAGGGGAGGGAGGGAGGAGGGAGGAGGGAGGGAGGTATGTGAAGGTATGGAGAGTGGGGTGAGAGTGAGTGGGAGGGAGGGAGGGAGTGGAGGGGCATGGGGAGGGGAGGGAGGAGGAGGGGTGATGGGGGAGAGTGTGAGGGGGTGAGAGTGAGCAGTGGAGGGGAGTGCAGTGTGAGAGACAGTGAGAGGGAGGGAGGGAGGGTGTGAGTTGAGTGAGAGGGAAGGAGGGAATGTGTGAGTGGGGTGAGAGGGAGGGAGTGTGTGAGTAACGAGGTGGCTGGGAACACAAGGAAGTGACTGCGTGGACCTACTCGCTGGGTATTTCATGAGAGACTAGACCTGCATTTAAGTGGGATTTTGTTTTCTTTATCGAGTGCAGATTACTTTAATGATAGTCGTAATTATACATTGTGGAATATTAGTTATGGTAAGTGGAGCAATTTAATGTGAGCACGTGGGAAAAATAGAAGGAATTTAATTTTTAGTCAAGGAAATTGCTGTCTCTTGTAGGTGTGGCTTATTTTGGGTGTTTAAAGGTGATGTACCGAGAGGAGTTGTGTGCCACTGGGTTAAGCTAACCGGCTGCTCTAGATCCTGCGCATCTTGGTGGGCTGAGATCTACTCACTGTAATTGGGGATGTGTTCACTGTAGTGGTGTTGAATGTTTATGGGTGTATTAGAGGAAGGAACAGTTGCTTGTAGTGTAAGGAATAAATGTGGCATGTTGGAATAGGGGATGAATAGTGTTGGTAGGATCCTGGGAGTGTACTGTACTTGCCTCTCACTACTGCATCCCAGGTTTGATTTCCGGGTTGGATGTGAGAAGGGTGTTGTTATGATGCAGTGTGACTCTTGTATAAACATCACAGGTTTTCTCCTGGTACTAACAATGGACAGTGAAGGATATAACAACAAACAGACCGACCACCTGCTTGGCTAGTAAGTTGACGGTGGTGTAAATGATGAAAAAAAAAGTTGTTACTCTTGTTATTTAGTAGGTATGAGGTATAATGGCTGTCAGTTCATGTAGGTGTGACAGCCAGTGCAGTTCTCTTAAGTTGACATGAGGAATAAGTGGTCCTTTAGTTGATGAAAACAGTGTGAATGGCATTCTTAACCTCAAGCAAAGTCTTAATACAAGACAATCACCAAACACTACCTTTAATTCTTCACAGGATCAGCAATGTTGTGGGCACCATCGCAGTTAATGGGCGTGAACGCAATCTAAGAAAGTTTCGCAAGATGTCGTGTTACATCATGCAGGACGACCACCTCCACCCTCACCTCACTGTCATGGAGTCTATGAATGTCTCGGCCAACCTTAAACTGGGTGATCGTATGAAGAGACAACAAAAGGAGGAAGTGGTAAGGTTTTTGTGGAACATTGGGTAGAGTCTCATCTTATTTTGAATACTATATTGGAATTGATTACTTCTCCTTCATAAACCACCAAAGAATTTATGGACCTTTATTTTCTGTTCACTTGTTTCAGTAACTACTTTCAACTGAGGATCTTTTTTTTCAATATCAGTAAGAATGAATATTTGATAAAGATATAAAGATAAATAAGTAATATCAGGTAAGCAGGGAAGTATCAGTGAGTGGGCTTTACTCTTCTTAGGTCTCTTGTGAAGCTTCACATTATAATTTTCCAGTTTGGTGATAATGGCCCTATTTAAAGGGTGTGGATTAATCCCTGTTAATTTACTGAGAGATACAATATTATTGATATGTTGACCCAATAAATTATTAAACTTCTTACAGTATTTTCACTATTACAAGGCTTATGTCACTAATCTTGAGGCAGCAGTGTTCAATCTGATAGATCTTGGGCTACTTATTGTGATAAGAACTTGGGAGGAAACTGGATATAGTAGTTAATTGTTACTGGTATTAGTACTCAGCAGTTTTTATATATAGGTCTGTTTTATTATAGGCCCGGTAAGAAAATTTTAATATAAGTTGATGTGAAAATGCATTCCAGAGGATCCTATTGTTTTTGTTTTTTAAGAAATGTAGCTCTGAATATGAATACTGTTTGCTGTTTTCAACTTTTTCTGAAGTATAATGGTGCAAATACAAGTACAGTAGATATTCTTTAATAGAGATTTACCTTCCAGATTAACGAAATCCTGGAGACACTCAGCTTAACAGAGTGTAGAGACACACGGGCCATTAACTTGTCTGGTGGTCAGCGCAAGAGGCTGTCCATTGCATTAGAACTTGTCAACAACCCACCTGTTATGTTCTTTGATGAACCCACCAGGTAATATTATAATGTAATCCATATCGTATGTCCTGTTCCTAGGGGGATGGCCAAGATATTAAGGCTCAAGACTATCCTACCCGGTATATAAACTTGGCCTTTCTAGCCTGGTTGTCCTCCTACCACTCTTGCCCTAATTGCTTACCTTTATACACTCCCTGTACTGTTCTACTGTCTATCATTCTTACCCACTTATCTACACCACTTAAATGAATTCCTCTTAACCTGCTCATTGACCCCTACATACCATCTCAGGCCTGCTTAGCCTCCCCACATCTAGTGCACGTCTGTGTAACCTCATCCATTCCCAACTACAGTACTGATACCACATCCAACCCTCAAGTAGTCTTCCTCAGCAAACTTTCTTATAAAGCTGTCGAGTCTACTCTACTGTACTCCGTGTTCACTACACTTCCATAAGGTGTATGATGTGTCGGAGTCCCCCCCTTTTTTTTTACGTTCATAGACCTAGTTTTTCTCGGCAATCCTCTTCAAGGTTCCATTTATTATTTTCCCTGTATGATGAATTTTTAGTAATGCAGAGTTTAACAGAAATAGTATTTGCCTATTGAATTTTTATCGTTTAGGAATTTTCATAAGAGACGCATGTAAATACGTAATGTGAAATTAACAAAATCATCATATAAAATATTTGTTAGTTTGTATGGTACAGTATTTGTAGACCATTGTAATAATAAAATTTTGATTAACTTCCAGTGGGTTGGACAGCAGTAGTAGTTTCCAATGTATCAATCTGCTCAAGACGTTAGCACAGGGAGGACGCACCATCATATGCACCATCCATCAACCCTCAGCAAAGTTGTTCGAGAAATTTGACTATCTCTACGCATTGGCAGAGGGACAATGCATCTACCGTGGAGCCATCCATGGGCTCATTCCTTTCCTATCAGCAATGGGTCTGGAGTGTCCATCATACCACAATCCTGCTGATTTCTGTAAGTAAAGATGGGAGAGTTGGTGTTGTTACTCCATAGATTAGCCCCTTGTGTATGGGGTCCCCTCTGAGCATAATAAAATTCTGGTGTTGGCCAAATAAAATGTTAAAAGTGGCATTCCCATAGTAAAGGGGGTATTAAGATGCAGAGGATGCTGTTGTGAAAAGTGGTCTTTTTTATTATTGTGACAATGGATTGAGACATTGATTTTAAGGAATTAATAGAGAATGAAATCTTGACTTGTGGGGATTTGTTACAACAGGACTCAAGGAGAGGAGGAAGCAGAATAATTAGAGGAAAATCGATGCCAATAAAAATACTGGAGGATGGTATTACTTTATTATTTGAAAAACGAAAAATTGGGATTGTTTGTTCAATGGGTGGTGATGATGAAAGGAGAGTAGAGATCAAACAGTATATGAAGGAGTTTGTACAATGAAGGTGTTATTACACCAGGTGACGACTATATTAGGTTATGTTGTGTTATCTAGGTATGACATACCAGGTAGTTCTTTGCATTGTAATTAACTTGACAAACTATTGTGGGAAAATTTTTGTATTAACGCAAATAAGAAAAGTTGATAACTGTTGACCCACAATTCTCTTAATGATAGTAAGAGTAGCATAGTTGGTACTTTGTTGAAGGGTAACATAATTTTATGCCCTTAGATATCTTCAAGCCTGAATCAGGATGTGGAATTGTTTTTCTTTAGTTAAAAGTCAGTCATTCAACTACAGGCCTTTTCTTGAATACTGTACTGTATCATTTTTCAGATAATCTTAAAGCAAACTGGTCCCCTTTTTGGAGATTCCAACCATGCACAACAGAAACCAAAACATCCTCATATTCCCCAGGAAAAAAAAAGAGAACTTAACTGAGACTTTGGTGCTCTCAAGTCATACAGTATTTATGCAGACATGCACACAATGAAAAACACAACTAAAAGTTTTCAGGTTTTTGTAACAAACCAATTAAAACTATTTTTAGTACGTATGAACTGTACTGTTTATAACTTAATAATACACGCACGCACACACACACACACACACACACACACACACACACACACACACACACACACACACACAGAACAATTACCGGGGTAGCTATTTGTTGGATTTGTTTTCACTGAGGGAAGAAATAAGTTATATCATACTGTATATGGGTAATTAATATACTTGTACAGTAAACCCAGACACTGTACTCCTGAGTCGGTAAGGTGACCAACCCTTTTAGCTAATCATCTAATGGTATCTAAGCCTGAACAACTAAGGTGTTTTTCTTCAACACCAGAGAACAATGATCAAAGTATACAGGAGAAAAAATAGTGTAGCCTCTGGAGAATGTGAGTTATTACAATATTACCATATATGAATGGGGTGATATAAGTAAACTTTCTTTGGCAGTGATGGAGGTTGCCTGCGGGGAGTACGGAGAGTTCACCCACAAGCTGACGACCGCAGTGAGATGTGGCAAGTGTGATAACCTTGGACCAGACAACCACCTGGCAGTGAGGGCCAAGCAACATATTATAGGTAAGGCTTTGTATTAACTGTGACAGCTTACCTTTTGTCCACACATTTTCCACAGTCTCTCTCCAGTGTCGTGTGAAGCGTAGGCAATAATTGAGGTACTCGGGGCTTGTTCCATTTGTTTCCTTTCCTGCTTGAATGGACAATATCTCGAGCACTTTTTGAGCTTGGAAGCTGAAATATTTTGCTCACAGCTTGGGTGGCGGTGATATTCTTTTTTCATGCTCAACTGCAGAATCCAGCATAACTTAAGTATGTTGTATTTTGAAGATGGTCTGGTGGAAACAGAAGATACCCTTAAATAAATATTGTCAATTTGTAATTTTTTCTAATTTAACATAAATGATAACTCCTTGCATATCGGTACTGTATAGGTAATTGTCTTAAAAGATTTGCTAAAACTTTGCTCAAAAAGCTGTTAGAATCTATTTTCTCTTAAGTCAATGTGAACTTTTAAGTTCATCCAATTTTACAGTAAGTTAAAAGCTTTTTCACAGTTGATAACCCATGCATATAGTTTCATCGAATCTTGCTGTGGAGGATTTAAACATCAAAGTGAAGTACACAGGTACATACAGTAAATGAGTGAATCGCTACCAACCAACCTGACCTACCTTGTGGCCACCATAAAAAATTTTCGGTATTGGTAATAATAAAATTTTAAAGTACTGTATCCTGTAATTATTGATGACTGGTTTTACTCATTAGCCCGGGACGATGATGAACACCGGGAGTCTGGTGGTGGTGAGGCATTAAACGGACCCCCGAGAGGTGATGCAAGAGTCAACATCCCCTCTACTCAGCACTCACTCTTGGCATCAGAAGATGAGAGCATTGATGATATTCCTAACTCCTTCCCAACATCTGGCTGGAAGCAGTTTGTCATCCTGTTCAAACGGACTTTTCTCTCCATTATCAGAGATGGGGTTAGTAGACAGATTTTTTTTTTTTTGGCGTATACACACACTTTAGGACAGGAGGTGATCACTGCAGTCTTTTATATAAGAAAACATATAGTCCTTTTGTTCTAATGATTAACAGCAGCTACTAAACAATTAAAATTATGTTTAGATCAAATAGGAATCCATATTTGTTTATCCTTAAAATAATGCAATATAATATTTTACTTTCAATATCAGTTCTATGTAAATAACATCACTTAAGTTGTCGTTCTTGTGACAAACTAATTTTTCATGATAATTTTCCAGATGCTGACAAAAATGCGTCTCTGCTCACACACGTTGATTGGTCTGCTCATAGGTCTCCTGTACTATAACATAGGAAATGAAGCAGGCAAAGTGTTCAACAACTCAGGGTGTTTATTCTTCTGCATGTTGTTCTTAATGTTTACTGCCATGATGCCCACCATTCTTACATGTGAGTATCTTTATTGTTAAGTATTGTAATGTATAAGTAAAACATAACACTACTGTAGTTATATTTATTGAAATACTTTATCATATACCTGTAATTAACATCGTTCACAATTTAAGATTAAGATACAGAATTTGTTTAGTAGCTTTACATTGACTCGTGATAATGAATGTTTTTATGAACTGTTCATCATTATTAGTTATTGTTGTTATTCCTGTGTTGTTTAGAAGTTATTGGAACTCGTCGTAAGTACTGAAGTTGTAATTTTTCTTTTCTTCACCACCAGTCCCCCTTGAGATGAACGTCTTCATCAGAGAGCATCTCAACTACTGGTACTCCCTCAAGTCATACTATTTAGCCAAGACTATGGCAGACATGCCCTTCCAGGTAACTTTCTTAAAACATGCCAAGATTTAATTTTGAAATACATGTATTGTAGTAAACATTTTAAAATATTGCGGGAAAGTTCTAAAGGAATCTACAGTTATAGTAAGTATTTTGACATTACAACTAGTGCAGTGAAAAAATTTAAACTATCAGATGTTTTGCATTGTTTTACATTTGGGTATTACTGTCCCATCAGGGCTTCACTGACTCGTTTGATGGATTGATTAAACTATAGAATATTAAACACTTGTTCCCTCTTGGTTACTTACTGCTCCTCCACCAACATTCATCTGTCAATTACTGTCTGATGTGTGTACAGTAGATCATTTTTTTTTCTTTTTTCTTTGGGGTTCACCTGTACAATTCTGGCCATATACAGGTTTATAGTTTTATTCATTATGTCGCCTTTAAGTTGTCGCTTTAAAACATTTCATTCTTTACTTACTGATGCCATTCAGTACTGTACAGTAATTCAATTTGAACCATGTAAAGTGTTTTTTTTTATTCTTCCAACGTTGTTCTGTCATTTTGCAAGTTTCCTATACAGTACAGAGGTTTTCCCCCTTTGTACAGTGGCCCCTCAAAGTTTTCACAGCCCACATCTTCATTGTTATTTTCCTTCTTCAGTCCCTCGTCAGAGTATAAAATGTTAATGCAATTTACTTGGCTAGTGCTGAACAAATTACAGTAATATGGATTACATGTGATGCTGTGAAACAGATTTTCAAGCTCCACATTTGTCTTTACTTGAAATTTTCCTTTTGCTTTATTTTATCCCACCCCCCTACTATATTTTTTCATGTAAAGTACTACAGTATACTGAATATATTTTTTCCTCCAAGTTTCCACCAAATTTAATTCATGTTAATCCTTTCACACATTTCTGAGTCAGGCAGATGGCAAATATTTCATGTGTTGTGGCCAGTGATGAACTACATGGTGTTTGATCTCTTTCAGGTATTATATCCGCTGCTATACGTGCTACTGGTTTATTTTCTGACGGATCAGCCACTGGAGGCTCATCGATTCTTCATGTTCACCACAATGTGCATCATGACATCACTTGTGGCTCAGAGTCTTGGCTTGGCTATTGGGGCCTGCTTGAATATACAGGTAATGAATTGTGTAACCCTGATATTGTAATCCAGAAGAAGCTATGCTACCTAACATTGCAATACATACATGATTCACCTAAGGATATGATTTGTAGTGTATTTTGGAGATGATTTAGTGCTTACATAGGTTAGTGATCATCCAACTCAGTGGGATCCCTTATATCTCACTGTACATTACTGTACAGAATGTAGTGTAGTAGTGTGTGCCATAACTCCAGTGGCCCACAATATTGTTTATACTGTACAGTATATCATTTGGTATGTAACAACAGAAAATCATATTAATATACTGTACAGCAGTTTAAAGTTCTGTTTATTGTAGTTATATTAAAATCATCTTGTAAATTATTAAATATACACTGAGAAGTTGACCTAACAGAAAACTTTGTGGATGTGTTTTAGGAACAGTAAATAATGTCTAGTGGTGGACAGATATTAAGTGATCTTTCCCTAAAAAAATCACATAGTATACTGTATTTTAGGTTATTGCTTAAAAATAACTATTACCAAGCCAAAACAAAGTACAAATATACTGTATAGATAAAAGTACAAAAATTAAGCAAAATAATGATACTTAATGTACTATCCCAATAGAGTCCAATTTGCCTTAAATTATAGTATACAGTACAGCACTGTACAGTACAGTCTCTCCTCGACTTACGACAACCTGAACATACGATGGCCATGGTCATATAAAATATTTTTTACATTACAGTATGTATTTTTGAGTCCCGACGTTAGTGATCGTGCTGTGTACTGACAAAATTTTCGTTTGTAATTCCCTTTAAAATGACTGGCAAGCGTAAAAGTAAGAGTTCTCGTGGTGTTGAGAAGAAAAGGAGACACCCATTTTAGAATTTCTATGTATTATTTTCGCCTTTTCGGCTTACGACCTGGTCGTCGGGACGGAACCCCGTCGTAAGTCGATGAGAGACTATGTACTGTTAATTTCTTACTAATTATGAGAAGCAAGCATAGATCAGAGAGCCAAGGAGAAAATAACAGTACCTGGTAATTATTGTGACTATTACTGTATAAAGGTATAATTTATAATTTGCATGAAGTGACTAAAGACATTATCTATGGTACCTCAGTTATTTAAAGGCAATGGGAGTTATACTGTACTCAACAAACATTCAAAGTACAGTAAGTTATCCATCTGTCAAATTTATTTTAGGATTTACAGGCCTTATAGTGTATTTTTATTAATTTATATTTATTTCTAGGGTGCAGTTTTCCTCGGCCCCATCACATCCATACCTGTTCTGCTGTTTTCTGGTTTCTTTGTTAATTTCTCAACCATTCCAATATACTTAAGGTGGATAACCTACATCTCGTATGTAAGGTAAGTCGTTTTGTGGTATGTTTTGAGTATTGTCTGTGACTTGGATATTACGGAAGCACAAGTGGAGGTTGAGAGTGAATTTGTAAATTTCATACACAACTGTATAATTGAAGTGACAACTTTGTAGGAGTTACTATTATTGTGGGACATTCAAAGAAGTGTCAAAATTGAAGTACACACACTTAAAGTACTAATATTATACAATTGCAGTCAACAGTGACCATAGATTTATTGAATTTTCACCATATTGAAATTAGCTTGTAATAGTTATGGAGCTACGGGAAATGTTTAATGGCAAAATTTTAACATGCTCATTCTGGCAGTAAGGCCATTAATTGTTGTCGTTGGGTAGTTCTGCATATTTTTTTTAACTGGACATATTTTATAAACCATGATAGGATGATCCAGTTTTAGAAGACTGAGCACATCATCTTGGGAACAAATATCTTGAATGGCTCAACCATGGAGATGCTCACATTACTACTGCATCTGCAGATAGACAGAAACTAATATTTTTGGGAAGTTCAGTCATATTAATTACTGTACTGCGGCTAGTGTAAGAAGTTTGTTATATTTATTTTAGCTGACCATTCAAAATAACATTTCAACATCAGAGTGTAAAAACAGAACCAATCTCAACCAATGTATAATCATAGAATAATAAACTTTTAAAGACACAAAAACTGACAAAGATTAAACTAACATGTTGAAATTGTATAAAAGAATGTATAGTAATTATATATTTATGTCCTTGGTTCCTAATACAGTAGTACAGTATTTCAAAACAGTGCAGTGTCCCAAAAAAGCAGGTTCAGGTACATTCAGGAGCCGGTGCATGCCCAGTATTTGCCAACGGTGCGTGACCGACGTGACCGATCGCCCGGGCGGCTAGTGAGCCGATCAGTGGCGAAGAGGATAAATGTAAAAAAAAGTAAAAGTAAAACTAATCACCATAAATGAATTATGACCTTTTGACCTCAAATCTTTAATTAACATAGGGACACCTGTATCGAGATTTTGAAAGCACAAAAAATAAAAAGCGAACTTAGTGATTTCCTTTTTTAGGCTCTGAAGACATAGCATGTCCTTAAATGTTAGATGCAAATAGGTGCAAATATTACAAGGGAAATTAAGACAGGATGAGAGAGGAGATGAGGGGTATCCACTGGCCTGACTCACTAAGGCATAAGAAAGCAGACACTGTGCTGAATATCATAGCGAGTAAAGTGAACCATTTGATTGATAAATATATACTCAAGACCAAACACAGTGCCTCTAGGAATACAAGGGGACTCCTATACATGAACCATGTGGTGGTCGACAAAGTTAAGAAGAAAACCCAGAAATTCAAAGTGTGGGTTAAGTCAAACGATGAGCAGGACAGGAGGATGTATGCTAGAGCCAGAAACCAAGCAAAGACAGTGTGTAGAAGAGCTGAAAAGGAGTTCCAGAGGCTGGTTGCAAGCGAGGTCAAGTCAAACTCAAAGCAATTTTACCGCTATGCAAAGACAAAAATTAAAAATGCGAGTAGGAGTATCGGACCTGAGGCTTGAAGATGGTAGTTACGCAGATTCTGACCAGGACAAAGCTGAGGCATTGAATAGCTTCTTTTCCTTGGTGTTCACAAGAGAGGATGTGATTAACCTTCCTGCGTTTGAGGACAGACAGTTCGACACAGCACTGACCCACATTGTGTTCACAGAAGAGGTTACAGTATAAAAAATAAACAGTCAAAGCTAAAAGTTCATAAGAGTCCCGGCCCTGACATGGTGCATCCCAAAGTGCTAAGAGAGTTGTGCAACGAGCTTGCTGAGCCCCTGAAGATCCTGTTCTGTAAATACCTGGATGAACAAAAGGTCCCCGGTGATTGGAAAATGGCTTGTGCGAATCCTATCTTCAAGAAGGGCGATCGTCTCTCCACGAACAACTATAGACCGGTGAGCCTGACCAGCATATTATGTAAAGTACTTGAGAACATTATAAGAGATGCCATGATGGCACATCTACTACGAAACAACCTTGTAAAGGATTGCCAACACAATTTTATGCCGGGGCACTCCTGCTTAACACAATTATTCTCAAGGTACTGGAAATTTGGGCCCATATTCTGGAACAGGGTGGTAATATTGACAATATAGGCCTAGATTTTGCCAAGGCTTTTAACAGTGTACCCCATGAAAGGCTGAAATTTAAATTGAAGGGGTACGGGATTCAGAGAAATGTCCTTGCATGGATCGAAGACTTTCTAAATGACCGCAAGCAGTGTGTGGTGATTAATGGCACGAAATCATGATGTGTACCCATCACAAGCGGGGTACCACAGGGCAGTGTATTGGGCCCGCTGTTGTTTGTTTGCTTCATAAATGATATGCCTGATGCTGTACATTCCTCCATACAAATGTTTGCGGATGATGCCAAGTTATTTTGGGAAATTAAGAACCAAGCAGACTGTGAAGAGCTGCAGAAGGATCTCTGTGAGCTCCAAGAATGGCTGCTAAGATTCAATGTCACGAAGTGTAAGAGGCTGCACCTGGGGCATACCAACGGTAAGGAGACGTATCATATGTCCCAACGGGACGAAGGAACTGCATTAATTGAGACAATGTGAGAAGGACCTAGGTGTGTATGTTTACAATGAGCTGAAGTCCTCGGGGTCATTGCGAGAAGAAGGTAAATCAGGCAACTAAATTATTAGGTTTTATAAGAAGGTCGTTCAGATATCTAGACGGTCCATCTCTCGTAACGATCTTTAAGAGTGAAATGCTTCCCCATCTGAAGTACTGTCACCCCGTCTGGTCCCCGAGATATGCTAGGGACTGTCAGTTGATGGAAAATGTCCAAAGGAGGGCCACCAGACTGGTGCCCTGAGAGATTGGAGTGCCTGAACTTGCCTAGCTTATACTACAGACGGGCAAGGGGTGACCTAATTGAGGTGTATAAGCATCTCAAAGGGCACTACTCGGTTGCGTTTCCTTACCTGGAGCTGGCGGATGCTCTCCCCACAAGGGGTCACAGCTCAAGGTTGCAGAAACTGCAAACCCAGAAAACTGTGAGGGGTAGGTAACTTTTTCGGAGTGAGAGTTGTGAACTGGAACAATCTGCCAGAGTGTGTCGTGACGGCACCGGGTGTGAGCTCTTTCATGACCAGACTTGACAAGCAATGGAGCAGGTTCAGGTACATTCAGGAGCCAGTGCATGCCCAGTACTTGCCAACAGTGCGTAACAGAGACGTGACCGATCGCCCAAGTGGCTAACGAACCAATCAGTGGTGAAGAGGATAAAAGTAAAAGTAAAGTAAATGAAAATGGGCTTCTTACAATATTGTTCTTCTAAATTATTAAAAGAAGTCTTTTTGTTAAACAAATATTAAGTCTTGTAACATAATTATTTAAACATACTTTGCAGTTTTTTCCTACAGGTATCACTACACAAATGAATATGGTTTTAAAATGTTTTTTACAGGTATGGATTTGAGGGGACACTACTCAGCATATACGGGTTTGACAGAAAGCCTCTACACTGCTCGGAGGCGTACTGTCACTACAAATCTCCAAAGAAATTCCTTGAAGAAATGGACATAGCAGGTGCAGAATTCTGGATAGATTTTGTGGTTCTTTTTTCATTTTTCATCCTCTTGCGAACAATTGGCTACTTTGTTCTGCGGTGGAAACTTAAGGCCGAGCGCTAATAGTAGTCTTATTGTGTATTGCATTAATTTTAGGTTGATATTTCTCGTAAGCTTTTCCTCAGTGAGATGTTACTCAGAATGATTTAAGTTACTGTATGTCATTGCATGAGCTGCTCGATGCTGAAGTTGACAAATGCCAGAAAACTATCGTTGAGCAGCCACTTTGGTGCCTGACATGGTGATAAACAGTGTTGGATGAGAATGGTAAATAGAGAAGTGTAGTCTTTCATTGTACATTGCACATGTTTATTATATATGAAATGTCATTAAACTGTTTACACTTACTTCACTTGTGGTGAGTTCTTTTGCCATCTATTTGTGTTAAAAGCTCTTCCTCAAGAACAGTGAAAAACTGTTTGAAGAAACTGAGGACTCGGACAAATGACATAACTCCATCAACAAGAAGGTGGTAGTCTTCCAGTTGAAGGTTTACAGTGTGCAAAAGTGATATTATGAACTGTTGTGTAGAGCAGCTGCAGTGTCTCCTTTCTTGAAGATGGAGCTGTAAATGAGAGAATCACTGAAAAACAATATAAGTGATGAAAGAGACATCATACTGAAAATAATTTTAAGGTGACCGTACTATACTGTATTTTGAAATTAAAAACTTACTTGAAAGACTCATTTGAGCTCCTTAAAAATCGAACCTCAGGGTAAAGGCTATACAGTACTGTACTGTATAAAGTGAATGATGATGGTGTTAAAGTGTGCAGTGAAAACTGAAAGAATATTGAGAAGATATCCCTGATCAGCCGAACTCATATTGATAGGTCTTCAGTGAGCTACTTCATTTTGACTGCATGTTAAGTGCACTTTAAGGCTTATCTCTCATGCATGAATCTGCACAAAATTTCATAATTTAACCAAATTTTTTAAATAAACTTAGTGTTACTATTAAGGATTTTATTAGGTTTTCAAAATTCTAATCCAGTTTACATCACAGCTTGAGTAACTGTTATCTTGGCTCTTGTTTGCAAATATATTGCAGTGAAGCCAGTTCATAGTTGATAGTTTCTTAAATTCTTCTACAATGCATTTCTGAAACTGAGATTCTTCTTTTAATATTTTTTATTGACATATTTACCTTGTATGCTCAAATACCCCAAAGGACTTTTGGGGGCATAAAGCATGGACTTGAACTGTTTAATAATTTATAGAAGTTAAAATTTTACAGCGAGACTTAATATTACACAGTTGCTAAATCACTCCAACATTATTGGAACTTTTTGATACTGTGTATGGCATTAATTTAAAGTTAAACAAATTGATGACGATTTTAGAGGCCTAAATATTTTTTTGTAATAGTGATGATCATACATCATAGCTTGTACAGTATTTAAGGAGATATTAGACTTGTTTGTAGTCATGCCTGCAAGAGTCATTGAGGCATGTTGTATATCTGTACTGTAATTTTTTGCAGTCCAGCAATACAATTGAACAGATCAAAAGCAACCCCCAGCAAATTTTAGTCTTACTATCACCTAACCATACAGTGCACTTGTAAACTGAATACCAATATACTAAAAAGACAGGGAAAGTTATTGAATGTAAACAATTTGCCTCGGTCTGATAAGGAGATTGCCCAATATGAGAGCCCCTGGTGGTAGTGTACTGTACTGTACTGTGCCTGTCGCCCACGGCTCGTCTTCCGTCGTGTTGTCACCTGTTCAGTCACTTGCTGATCTGTGTGTGCTGGGTATTAAATCTTCAATTTCACAAAAATTTCACGACTTGCCTTCTCGTTCTTTGACTTCCATGAAATCAAATGACAGAGAATAAGCTTATTTGTAAATGTACCCTAATACAGTACTTGATTAGTTGTTTTCATGTAAATTTATTTTAGGACTATACTGTATCCTTTGTATGCTATATTGGTGTATAGAGGATGAAAGGTATTGTAACTGTGATTCACTTCCTATCAAAAAATACCTTGGGAGGTAAATGATTTATTGAACCCCCAGGGATCATATAATAAAATTTGTATTTACTGTATAAATTTTTCCATACAATGCATTTCTATCTTAGTTCATATTGTGCCCTAATTGGACCTAGAAGTTAGGTATTCCTGCTAGTCTTTGAAAATTAATCGTCAAACCTATTTTCATTCACTTTGCACCGTCATGCAAATTGGAAGATCATTTTGTTGTGTGGGCTGTTTGCTAAATTCTTTTAATGAGCTTTTCTATGGTTTCATGGTTGCTAACTCAACTATCTAAAGGTAAGATTTATTTGGTTAACATGCATAGCAAAGAGAAAGATTCGGCTTCAACATTGGTCTTGTATTAAGTAGGTGTTGGTGAAAATTTGCACGTCATCATTCCAGTTTTTATTGATATTGTTATTTGCTTAATTGACTCGAAAGATACAAATCTCGGATATAAACACGATGAACATTTTTTTGACATAACAGGTTGCAGTGGTGTACTACATTAGTCATTCGTAAATACTTTGGGTGTCAAGTGTTGACAAAAACCATAATGTATAGGAAATAATTTTAAAGTTATATTAAGTTTGGTCTTAAGTGAAACTGGAATGACTTTTGGTGTCTTGCCAACCAAGGCCATGCCAGAGCCTCTCATTTTCATATTTTTGCCACTCCATTACATTTGAAACATGGGCGGTTGTTGACTATGCATTGTGCCTCTTTAATATAGTATGTGAGAAATCTCAAACACACACACACAACACATTCTCTGGGTCCATTATTATAGATTTGTGACATGTTAGTTGATTGATGCCCAAGAGGGAGTTTTCTTAAGGCTCATTTTCAATAAATCTCGAAGTTTAAAAATCGGTGGAAAAGAGGAATGTTGGCTTCTCAATTTTTTTTTTAATTTTTAATTTGCTAGTCATAAGGTACTGTACATATTTAATTTGTCTTGTAAGTAAATGTGCCTTGTGAATTCCCTGTTTATGGCAATGTCACTGAGGATGTCACATTTATACTTAGTCAGGCATAGAGTTGCTAGGTCTCATGAGTAGATAGTCCGTATAAATTTTGGGATCTGGAGTATTTTTCATTCCAGTATGTACAACTTTTAGTCTTTACATCAATGCATCAGATGATTTTTTTTTATCTGGCAAATATAAACACCCTCACCACTTTTTTTATCAGGGTAATTATACTGTATGTACAGTATACCCTAACTTAAAAAAGAGCTGAAGTTTATGGGAAAAAAATCCAGAATGGCAATAAACGACCAGACTGACAATATTTGGTTGTGCTAAAACATGCCATTTGCTTTGCTAGTGGCCAAAAGGTAGATTAGAGTTCAAAATATGACATCTAGGATATATTCCAATACAGCATAATATATTAAAGTGCATTTAAATGGTCTGATATCGGAGAAATGTATATAATATCTTTAACTACATTTATCATCAAACTAATTGTAGCTTCTACCAAATCCAAAACTAGAGGTAATCCTGTTAACTAATTTATAAAACTATACAATGTTTGCATTTGGCAACTAGCAGCTTTACAAGAGAGCTTTTCAACAAATAGTTTTGGGTCAAGATGTTCTTGTATCTGACAATATTCTCACTTGACCATTGCTTCTTGGAATTTTTTAAGAAATTATTTTCAAGAATTGTACAAGAAGTCGGCACAGTTAGTTGCTATGTGTGGGACACAGGTAAGCTGGCATAATACTTATGAACTCCCACCACTGGGCATTTGTGTATGTATGTATGTCTACTCTAGTGCAATACTGTATATTTTATGCAAGTTATTTTAGTTCCTGGAGGAAGTGATACAGGTATACAGTTTAGGTCAGTTTGTATAATAATAAAATTTGAGCATAGTTTATCTTAATAAAATTTATAACTGCTCATATCAACACAAATTAAAGCTGCACCTTAAATTATTTTAGTGTTAACATATCTACTTACATGTCATGTACAGTACAATAGAATTCCTCAGAATTGAAGGACTATCAGTTTGAGCAGTATAAAAAATAGGAAGTTTTAACAAAATGGTCTACTATAGAAGAAATTGTTAACGTATAGTCGAACAAACGAGTATCAGGGCCCCAAGCTATAAGTATGATAGGTTTACAATGATTGGTTCTGTGCAGTTGGCAGTTCGGGTCATTTGTAGGGATAATAAATGCATTTAAAATCACATCATTTACCGTATCACTTAAAAGGCAAACTATTAATAAAAAAATCCCCATTCATACCTTAGTGCTTCAAAATTTAATTGATGCTTAGTACAGCTTTGATATTTCTATATTAAAACCAAACAAAATGTAAGAGAAAATATCCAATTAACCTGTATGTCTCTGTAGGAGTCCTGATACTTCTCTGCTCACCTGTACAGTAGCTACCTAACTTTTGATACTTTAATGAAGGAAAAATAAGACCTGTAATTTGTTACACCTCAAGTCTTGAAAGTAGTTTCTTTCTTCTGAAATGTAATTGCCAGCATAAATTTGTTTTACATAGTTTAATTTACTTCAGTGGATTATGAGTCGTTAGGCCACAGGAGGCTTTTGATTTACAAGCTCTCTTATTCATGTCACTTGTTTCATCCCACAGACTTTGGGCAGTTAATAATTATCATGGGTTACAATGAAGAAAATATATACAGTACTAAAGTATATAATTTTAATTATCACTTGTCATTTTTATATTAACTACTTATCAGAATGAATTTTATCAACTTTTTTCAGGCATAAATAAATAAATATTCCACTGTTATTTTACAACAGTTTTGCCTGTACAGTATTTAACAAAGCATTTGCCTCACTTGCCATTTTTTTATGAAATCTGTAAACTATGTTAATGTGTTCATGGACCAAGAAGGAAAGTTACAGTATTAACTTATGTTGGGCACATATGATTTTCTTGTATATATTGTATAACATAGTCACTGTATCAGCAGCAGTATTTTTGTTAGCCATATCAAAGGTAAATGTGTACATCTGGCTGCTTGATACCTCTGTATGCAGTGCATTTACTACAATTATTAGAAATAAAATAAATTATCATATAACTTGTTTATTCATTCCAAAAACTTGCTGATATATAAACTGTAAATAACGACTATAAACCCATTTCCTGGCAGACAACCCTGATGCTGTCACTGAGAGCCTCACAGTTGCCAGACCCCTCAAGCTCACCCACCTTGGACATAGTGACAACCTTTCATGGTACGCTCAGTCTGCCACAAATATTTATAAATAACTCCATGTGTTGATCCTGCTGTATTTTCATAGCACCAATGTGTACAGATACAGTATCTTATTTTACAGTATAGGTAAACCTCATATGCAATGGGGTTAGGTTCCTGAAAATCCAATTGCAGGTCGAAATATTGTAAATCCGGGCATTACAAGCAAGTTAAATATCCAAAGTTCACGATCATCATGTGATAAGATAAAAACATTAATTTTTGACTTTCTATAAAAAAGTCAACCAATGCGTATAACTCGACCACAAAGCTAACCATAAACAATTACTTCATCTTATATTATGGGAATTAATAAAGAATAAATTGAGAAATATACAGCTGTCTCACATTGTTTACACAACCCTCAGCCACGTGACGGGACCGACGGCCATTAATCAAGTTATCAAGTTAAACGAGTCAAAATTACCCCCCCCCCCCTTTACCAACCACTTCCAGACAGAAAATTTAATGAAAACGTCCTTTAAAATCGTGGTACAGTATGTGAATGGTGGCTTCGTCTTCGGCGCCATGGTTTGAATTGTATAATGAGGTAATAATGGTTGCTTCCTCATGCACACTAGCAATTTGCCAGTTCCTTGTACACGATGGCTGCTCAAAACCTTCAGTACGGAGTTTGCCACGTTAGAAGACACACCTCATCTGCCTCGATTTTGCGAACCCGTGACCTTCAGTATCACAAAGAAAGGTAGCAAGAATAATTACTGTATATATATATATATATATATATATTATAGATCAGAGGAAGCTCTAACAATGAATGTGTTAAAAGATGAAGTACAATTTGCAGAGGTGAAAGAAATATTACAAAGTGACGGTGAAGACGAAAGCGAGATAGTTCCAGAAAACTGTTGTGCCTCATAATTCATGAGTAGTGAGTTCAAGGAGTTGAAGAGGAAGTATTTAGCGAAAGCATATACTGTACAGTGTAAGTGTTATGTATTATAGACGGGCAAGGGGTGACCAATTGAAGTTTATAAACATCTCGGAGTCAGAGGCACTACTCAGTCGAGTGTCAACAACTGAAGCTGACAGACGCCCGCCACACATGGGGTCACAGGTCGAGGTTGATGAAGCCACAACTTCAAGTCCTGAGTGAGAAATATAAACAGTTGGAACAATCTAAGTGTTGTGCGAAATGTTTACCGCTACAAATTAAGTCACGCGTGACATAGTGATATATTTTGAATAATTACTATACAAAACAAGTCCCACGACAAAACCTCTACTCCGGTGTGATGTCAGGTATGGCTTGAATAAATTTAATGTTCTTTAATGTCTTGATTTGAGCAAATCTTGTGAGTTTGTTCATGGGAATACTGATCTATCAGTATAAGAATTAGAGGCCGCTCGCAATGTGTAGTTTCTACATTATTTTGCAAGTTTTCAGCGGGTTTCTTTACACGCAGAATGATTTTTTTTCTGCGAGTCGGCATGCGTAGTGTGCCATAAATATATATCTGCCACACTTGCTACCTCCTTCACTTTGCTCCTGCTAATTAAGGGTAAGTACAAGGAATGTTTTACATCTTTATCAACTAAAGTGTTTACTATCTAGTAGTCTACAGTATCAACAAGTGTGAACAGCTCGGCCACCTTGTTGACACAACATCCGTTTTCTCTCACTTCTTTATGGAAGAAAACTCTCCCGTATATTTTACTATACAGTGTATATTATTTTGAATGAGTTTATGTCCATCGAAATATTTTAATGAATCTGATTCCCCAGTAGGGTGAGAAGATAAAATATTATTTACACAATATAGTTAGAATTAAATTAAATTAAATTAGCAGTGTTTCACAAATTATTGAAAGTTTCATTGTGTTCCCGTGCAACATACACAAGAGTAGATGAAAGCAGCTTGAATCTCAAAACCCTCTCGGCAAATTTCAGTGTCTTTATAATAACAAGATTATGATCACTATTAAATCAAAGACGAAAGTTGTGACCCGGGATGACCACCTGGTTGATAATGGTAACAGGTGCGTTCATGTGAAAGGCTCCAAGGTATATCTGTAAGGTCAACTAGTGTCTGGAGGGATCCTTGAGTTTATTACCGTATTAACTCTGGCAGCGACCACAGGGATAAAAGAGACGAGACGATACTAAGCCAGTAAGGGGTGGTGTAGTAATACAGGTGACTGACCTCTAGCCCCAAACACACCTAACCTGACCTGTGACCCTTTATGATCGTTGAGAGAGTCGGTTAGGAACTGGTTAGTGACACTATAGTATAAATTGTCCTTCTTGAAGCTTTAAATAACTCTAAGCTTATAACATTTCTGGATCACTAGAAGATTAAGCACCCCAGTTTATTTTACCTAATGAATAAACACCCTAACGCTACCTGGGCCGGGGGTGGAGGGCAATATGTTAGAAGTTGTCAAGCATGGAACTCTATATTGAGTCTTATTCAGTATAGGGAGATAGAGGGAAAAAATTTGCTCAAGCGTTTCCGACGAAAATGTATAGTTTTGAGTTATTATTTTTGTCCCCACAACCATAACCACACACCACAGCCATAACTACCACACACCATAACTACATCACAACCACAATTATAACCAGATCACACCCATAATCACACACCACAACCACACGCCACAACATCACAACCACACCCTACAACAATAACCAAATCACACTCATACCCACACACCACAATCACCACACCACAACTACGAATACCAGCGTAAACATAACTTTAGGGACACACCTCTTGTTTACGCGGAAGTCACCTGTCACCAGAACAACAGAGAGTCAGAACAAAAAAAAGTTATGTCAATAGGACGTGTTGAGCGTTACCAAGATGGCGCCTGGTCACTGTTACCATGACAACGTGATGACGGTACGATTTTCCCTCTGGTGTCAGCATTCGTAAAACAACTAATGTTATCGTTATCATTTTTGTTTTATGTTTGTTTTGAGGTTTTTATGGTTAGCCTGATGATTACATGTTTCTAGTTTAGTTTAATTGGTGATTAAACACTTGTGTGGGAGGTTAGAGTAGGGTAGAGATGGTTAGATTAAATTAGATTGTTTGGTTGCGTTAGATTAGATTTGATTAGGATAAGTTTGGTTGCTTTACGTTAGTGTTCGGGTAGCTTGTTGTTCGGTTATTGTTGGGTTAAGTAGGTTTAAGTTGGGTTAGATTAGGTTATGTTATGTTAGTGTTAAGTTAAATTAGGTTATGTTAGCGTTGGGTTAGGGTAAGTTAAATTAGGTTGTGTTATGTTAGCGTTGATTTAAGTTAAATTTTATGTTAAAGTTAGGTTAGGTTAGCATGAGAATATTTAACAATCAGGTGAAATAAGGTGGGGCACCTAATCTTCACGTGTTCCAATACTATTATCCGGGTTGTCCTTCCATAACATTCATTATATACTGTAAGAATATTTACCTTTGGGGGCCATTATTTACGGGTGTTAAACTAGTGCACTGCGGACACCATCAGTTGATTATAATATATTGGCAACCTATATTTAGTGGCTTAATAAAGAAGGGATGAAGTGTTCTTATTTTAGTGTTTTTGTGTTAAATAATAATATGTCTTATACTTGATAATAAAATATGGTGATTGGGTGAAGATTAGCCACTCCAGTTTATTCCACCTGATGATTAAACACCGTAATGCTACCACTTCATATAATACTACCTACCATAACCTAACGTATCGTAACCTAATCTACCATAACCTAACGTATCGTAACCTAATCTACCATAACCTAACGTATCGTAACCTAATCTACCATAACCTAACGTATCGTAACCTAATCTACCATAACCTAACGTATCGTAACCTAATCTACCATAACCTAACGTATCGTAACCTAATCTACCATAACCTAACGTATCGTAACCTAATCTACCATAACCCAACGTATCGTAACCTAATCTACCATAACCCTAACGTATCGTAACCTAATCTACCATAACCTAACGTATCGTAATCTACCATAACCCAACGTATCGTAACCTAATCTACCATAACCTAACGTATCGTAACTCTAATCTACCATAACCCAACGTATCGTAAACTAATCTACCATAACCCAACGTATCGTAACCTAATCTAGCAACGTATCGTAACCCTAATCTAACATAACCCAACGTATCGTAACCTAATCTACCATAACCCAACGTATCGTAACCTAATCTACCATAACCTAACGTATCGTAACCTAATCTACCATAACCCAACGTATCAACCTAAACCATAACCTAACGTATCGTAACCTAATCTACCATAACCTAACGTATCGTAACCTAATCTACCATAACCAACGTATCGTAACCTAATCTACCATAACCTAACGTATCGTAACCTAATCTACCATAACCAACGTATCGTAACCTAATCTACCATAACCTAACGTATCGTAACCTAATCTACCATAACCTAACGTATAACCTCAATCTACCATAACCCAACGTATCGCATCCGCAACGTATCGTAACCTAATCTACCATAACCCAACGTATCGTAACCCAATCTACCATAACCCAACGTATCGTAACCTAATCTCATAACCTAACGTATCGTAACCTAATCTACCATAACCTAACGTATCGTAACCTAATCTACCATAACCTAACGTATCGTAACCTAATCTACCATAACCTAACGTATCGTAACCTAATCTACCATAACCTAACGTATCGTAACCTAATCTACCATAACCTAACCCTCAAGTAAAGCTAGGGTGGTCAGTCTTAAGGTGAAATAAGCTGTAGGGTGTCTAATCTTCAAGGGATCTCATGCAAGTATAGCGATCACACCTTGACACAGTACATAATTATATACACCAGGACCAACATTATCTTCACCACCACTCATCATGTTAAGGGCAGAGACGAAACGGCCCTGTGAGGTGGTGATGATCCCCCGGGGTGACTCTAAAGGTGAAGCTATAATAAGGAGTTTAATTAAAAAGTATCGCCTCATTCGCCAACCACCCTGCTATGACTGATGAGTAGTGTGAGTCTGCGAGAGGAATGGAAGGGGAGACCCGACCCGAGAGAACTGCCAGTTGCCCTGACCCAAACTATCGTACTGCACTAAAACTGGGGTTAGTAGTTATAATAATGATAAAACCTTATGTTGTAGAGGTTCACAAGTAAACAGTGAGAAGGTGAATATATGTGCTGAAACTATTAATTTCTTGCGCGTTTTTTGTTTTTATATACGTAAATCTGCACTAGGATGTCAGGTTGCCGCAAGTTAATTTTTGTATATTAAATAGTCACTTGCCAGCTCAGGAATATTAGAAGTTGTGAATGTTCTACTCTAAGGAAGGAAATCACCAGGGAGTGTCCTTCACGAGCCTTCATGGGCAACAGTGTGCATGCAGCGCCACAAACGGAGGAAGTGAAAAATGCAAAGAACACGACACTGGAGGAAGTCAAATGTAGCTCCACTATTCACCATCCTAACTTAATGCAATATTTGTCGTGCACAGAGCCTGAATTAAAACACCGTTGCCTTCACGGAAGTTTGGTTTAACCCCGTGAGTACAATGATTTAAACTCCTTGAGTACTATAATTTAACTCCTTCAGGACGACGATTTAAACCTTAGAGTACAAGAATTTAACCCTTTGAAACGATGATTTGACCCCTTGAGTACGATGACAACCCCGCCAAGTACGATGACTTTACCCCTTGAGCATGACTTATGGGGTAATATCGTATTCAAGGGTTTAAACCGATGTTAGTCTCTTAATGAACGCGAATTTTTGCATGATGTTTTATTCTTGCCACAAGGAACGCATAAACGGGTAACCTAGTAATGTTTCCCTCACGCCAGTCACTACAATGTATACCAGTGTGTGTTCGACAGTTGTTCAGCCACCCTAGGAGCGTAATACATCCTTACCTTTGATGTTTTTCTCGTCATTTTGGCCAATTTATGCTATTCTGTCCGATGGCATTTTACCTTGAAACATTTTTGACGAACCTTAACCAGAGCAAAACACCATGAATGTAAAGCAACCCAACCTAACCCAACCTAACTTAAACTAACCTAACCTAACCACCATACGCTAGGCTTCTGGTTTTTTTTTTTTTACGAAGGTTCATCGATCCCGTACTGAAATGTGGGTAGTGATGTCCATAGACTGGCTCACTCCACACACACACACACACACACACACACACACACACCTCTGCTATGACACACGTATTTATGGTCTGTCACTCACTTTCTAATCTCTCTTTCCCTCATTTATAATCAGTTGACATAGATGACATAGACGGTAAATACTCTATCCAGATTATATTAACTCTTCACCATCCTTACTGAACCTCATACTATAGGATTAAGTTAACTCGAGGACTTAAATCATCGTACTCAAGGGGTTGTTAAATCATCGTACTCAAAAGGTTAAAATCATCATTCTCAAGGGGTTAAATCATCGTACGCAAGGGGTTAAATCATCGTACTCAAGAGGTTAAATCATCATTCTCAAAGGGTTAAAGCATCATTCTCTCAAGGGGTTAAATCATCGTACGCAAGGGGTTAAATCATCGTACTCAAGAGGTTAAATCATCATTCTCAAAGGGTTAAAGCATCATTCTCAAAAGGTTAAATTATCGTACTCGAGGGTTAGCGTTGAAAATTGTTAATCTTACGGTGAAATAAGCTGGGGGTTAGGTTAAGTTAGGTGGTTAATCTACAGGTGATTCCATTAGTTAATTATAAGGCTCGAGACTTATAAGGTTTCTTTAAGCTTAAATTTTATACCTGAGTGAGCAACCATGACACCTTCCCTCCTCCTCCTCCTCCTTCCTTCTCCCTCCTCATCCCCCTCCCTCCTCCCTCCCTTTTCATCCCCCTCTCTCCTCCTCCCTCTTCCTCCCCCCCTCTCCCATCCCCCCTTTAAAGCACAGTATATCTCGACACTGCACTTGATCACCTTCACTTCCCCAATAGTAAAATCAGGTACCCAATTACAGGTGGATGAACTGGAGTGCTCGGGAGACGAACCATTGACCCTGGGGATGAGAGTCGAGTACTGAACCCACGCATCCACCACAGTTTGGATAGATAGAAGTGACGGTGAGAATAATGGAGGTGGAAGAGGAAGAGGAAGAATAAGAAGAGGAACAGAAGGAAGAAAAAAGGTGAGATAGCTGTTATTTACTGATGTTTCTGTTGTGTCGATGTAGAAAAATTATTATACATATTAGTGAATGAATTTAGATGAATAATATATCAGGAAAAATATTAATAAAAAATAAACGGGGGGAGAAATACAGGAATGAATAAATATTAACTGGGAGATAAAATGAAGGGAATGGAGTGAATGTGTCGACAGATGGGTATGATGAATAAGAGAGAAATTAATGAATGGAAAGTAATTGATAGGTTGAGATAAAGGTAGAGAGATAGAGAAACGTGAGAGAGAGAGAGAGAGAGAGAGAGAGAGAGAGCCGTGTGTGTTATTGTGTTTGTGAGTGGGAGTAAATGGGTGTGTAAGTGTGTGTGTGGGTAAGTATGTGTGTATGAGTGAGTGAATGAGTAAATGAATGTGTGTGTGTGTGTGTGTGTGTGTGTGTGTGTGTGTGTGTGTGTGTGTGTGTGTGTGTGTGCGCGCGTGTGTGCACTTAAAAACAGGGTCATTCTATACACTGTTTTTTTTTCTTCATCACAAAACTTAACAGTGAAATTAAGTGAAAAATTAATTGGACAAAATATCACTGATCATTAGGCGGCTGTCGGGCGATGAGGCAGACAGACAACAGACAGACAGGAGAAGCTAAGAAACAGACAGACATACAGACAGACAGAAGGAACTATACAACGGCAACAGCAACGTACAGTATATCATCATAGCTACACGAATGAAGTCAAAATATCACACACACACACACACACACACACACACACGCACACACACACACACACACACACACACACACACTGTCGACCCTTTAACTCATAACAAACCATGTTCGTAAAGCCGCTAAACTACCCCTACTGTATCGTTCATCCCCCCACGTTTATTAATATTCTAATTAGATTATCGGATTATTTAAATTATCAGGTGGGGAATATATACCTGAATAGTTTTTTTAATCGGGATGGGGAATATCGGTCGGCCGAGACGGTGTGCGCTGTACAACATCAATGAAGATCAATGCCCGGAATTCGCCGCTCGGTGCAGCTGGCGGACGTACGATGCATTTCCCTCCCTCCCCCTAGCGCGAATCGATCTGGCTGATATGAAAGCACCAGATGAAATTTCGCGGGGAATTCGTCTTTTTCTCGCGATATTTCTGGATTGGGTGTTAAGATGAGCGTGTCTGTGTGTATGTCCGTGTGTGTTGCTTTTTGCCCGCCGTGGGTGAGGTTTATCTCGATACGTTTTAACAAGTGAGTCTTTGTTATCCTACCCTGAATTAAGCTCAGTCCATCACCCTCTACTCTATCCATTTCTATAATTAGTTCATTTCTTTTATACACGTTATGTATTAATTGTGTATGATATCAATAAGAAACAAAATTTACTTACAAATACAAGTACAGATTGAAGTATAAAAATGCAGTTACAGATACAGAAAAAATAATTTGAAAGTATATAATTCTTTAGGTACGTGCAAAGTAACAAAAATACAGGCACAAAAATATGTAATTTGTGGTTTATTATGATATTTGTAAATGCATCTGTCCGTGGCGTAAACAAGTATTGAATTTATTACTGACAGGAGTGGGTGTGTGGGGTGGGGGGTGTGGTGGGGGTGGGGGGGATAGGTAAGTGTGGGGGGTGTGTTGGGGGAGTAAATAGTGGTGAGGGGGTAGCGTCAGGTAAGCTTAGGTCAAGGTGTGTTCCCCTGCCTGACCCATCAACACTTTTGTCAATTTGTTTATTTTTTATTCCCTCTACAGTAACTTCTACACTAGTAAAACAGAGTACAATGCTATACTGCTGTTAATGGTTTATGTATATTTATGAATGAAGAATAATATATAATTAATGCAGTGATCTAGATTTTTCTCCATTAATTGTGAACGCGAGACAAGGTTTGACGGCAGCGTACCCGAGATCACGGTAGCCAGACCCATTTACCTAGTTGCCAAGGATCAACGTTAATTACTTTTGAGCGTCTACCACCACTGGCTGGCACTCCCGGGCTTTGACCGGAGGATAGAGCCCAATTTTCCGGTGGTCACGGCACAGTAACCCGCTTGAATATCGAGTGTTGAAGGCTATTAAAACATTTAAGTAATGAATGAAAATGGGTGTACCGTGGTGTTGGCGTGCGGGTTGAATGGCGGGAGTGACGTCAGCGGGGCGGCAGGAGCCTGGAGGAGAGGGAGAGAGTAGTGTGGGCACGGCTGGCGTGGGGGACGGACATAGCGCCATGACGCCGCGATACCACGCCCGCATCTAAACTCGCAACCCCGGCTCGTCTCGGAGATGGTCATGGCTGAGAAACTGAAGGCGCCCGTCAAAGTGGGCTTTTATGATATCGAGAAGACCATCGGCAAGGGGAACTTCGCCGTGGTGAAGCTGGCACGGCACCGCATCACCAAAACGGAGGTGAGTAAGTGAAGTGTGTGTGTGAGGGCAGGGGGAGGGGGGGTTAAGGTGGTCTTTCCGGCACTGTTGTGTTGTGGTGCTGCTGGTGACCTTCCCGAGTAGTGCCACCACCTCCTCCTCTCGGCCCTCCTTCACCTGACACACCATACCTCCTCGTGTGTGGTCATCACCGTCTGACACCTCGGTAACAACGCCGTCTGACACGCCAGTAATCATCGTCTGACACCTTTAGTATCTACGCTGTGTGACACCCTAGTAACAACGCCGTCTGACACGCCAGTATTCTCCATGTGACACCTTAGTAACAACACCGTCTGACACCCTAGGAACAACGCCGACTGACACGCCAGTAGTCTTTGTGTGACACCTGAGTAACAACACCAAGTGATACCTTAGTAAGTACAGTACGCTCTGTGACACCCAGTAAACCTCGTCTGACACTTCAGTAACATCACCGTATGACACCTAATAATCGTTGTTCGACACTTATAATCACGATGTAACATCCGATAAACCCCGTGTGACACCCAGTAACAATCGTGACACTAAAATAACTACACCATGTGGGCCACACCGTCTTGCAACTACGGCATGTGACACCGTGACTACGTTCCGTAACACCACTTATTGCCATCTGCCACCCCAGTGACAATTTGATGCCGTTTGACACCTCAATGACACCTGTTATTACCGTCTGACACCCCAGTGACACCCAGTAACTGCCTTCCGACTCGAAGTAACTACACTGTGACACCCCAAAATATGGTCTACTTACTCGATTATTACCGGACACCATGACCGTCGCCATGTGACACTTCAGTCTCAATGCTGTAAGACACCTCAGTAACAACGCCACCTGGCATCAGTAGCCGCTGTGTGACATTACGCAGTTGCCACTCAGTGACTATTATAGGACTCAACAGAAACTGCCATTTGACACTAGTAACTGCTTCTGACACCCCCAGTAGCCATTGTCTGACACCGCAAGTCACCGCTGTCTGATACCCCATAACCACTATGATATGCTTATGACACCTGTAGTGTTTGGGTTTTAACACCGTGTGCATCGCGTGGTTCTCTGTGATACGCGCATCGGTTGATTCTGAGTGACACCAGAACAGTGTAGTGAACCTGACAACGCTTTGTGACACAGTGCCTGGTACAGTGTCACATCTACACAACTGCACACACCTGTCACAACTACACACTTTAGGCAGTGCTACACATATGAGTCAAGTGTCACACTAAAACAATGCCACACAGCAGTGCCACATCTCCATACACTGATACACTCAAACATGTTACATACTTCACACTGTGCCATACTGCGTCCAGGAACACACACTTAGTGCCAAAGACTAATACAGTGGAGGGTATTTAACACGGCCACACTTAACATGGTGTGACACACTTAACACTGCCACACACTTAACACTGCCACACACTTAACACTGCCGCACACTTAACACTGCCGCACACTTAACACACTGGTAACGTCTCCAGTACACACATAGGTGGCACTGGTGAGCGGCGTGTGGCACCTTTATGGACCTACTGTAGTGACCTTGGATCAGCGCGGTCCTCACCACACCCTTGACCTTGTAGCGAACACTCACCTAACCCTCTCCCCCCTCCTTCCCTCCCTTACCCTCTCCTCTCCCTCTCTTCCCTCGACCGTGTCACCTCCCGCTAACGTTCCTCTCCATCGTGTGTCTCTTCTCTCGACTCGCTACCTCTCCTCTTTTCCCTCCTCCCGCTGCCCCTCCCCTCTTTCTTCTTCCCGCGGCACCTCTCTTCCCTTCCCTCCTTCCGCTGCCTCTCCTCTCTTCCCTCCTCCCGCTACCTCTCCTCCCACTACCTCTCCTCTCTTTCCTTCCCTCCTCCCTCTAGCTGCAGCCTCTCTCCTCCGCCCGTTTCACCTCCTCTTCCCTCAACCGTGTCACACCCCCCCCCCGGCCTACCTCTCCTCTCTTTCCTTCCCTCCTCCAGTTGCCTCCACTCTCTCTTTGTTCTCTTACCCCTCTCCCCATCACTCCTCTGCCCCTTTCTCTCCCTCCCTACCTCCCCCCTTTCCCTTCCTCCCCCCTTTTCCCTCCCTCCCTGTCCAGTAAGATTTTGTTTCTCTATCACCGTGTTGGTAAGATTCTGTCCAGGCGGAAAATATACCGGGGTGTAGGGGGCTGGGGAGAGGGGAGGGGGGGCTGGGGAGAGGGGAGGGGGGGCTGGAAGGGGGGAGGGGAAGGGGAAGAAGATTGGGAGAGGTGGAGGGATTGGCCCATGAGTTGAGAGTGAAGTTTCACCAACATTGGGTCGAGGTTTTCAGTGTTGGTTCTGTTCGAAGCCTCACAACATTCGAAGCTTTGTGATTCACGTAACTCGAACCTCTCTGAACGATGACGTCACTGTGTACTTGGTGCCCGCCCCTGTGTTTTTGATTATGGGGATATGGAGGGAGGTGTTTAGGGGGTACGAGGGAGGTGATTATGGGGTTAAGGGGGGGGTACCTGAACAACTAATCCTAACAAGGTGGTCACGTCTACTGTATTCTGAACACATCCACCATCGAGAGACGACTGGACGGAACGGGTGATATTGGGCAAACCGGGATGTCGTGTTATGTGCATCAGAGGCGCCGCCACCAAAGCCGCAGCATGATTTAAGTATTTGACAGGCTTGACACATTCCTTCAGGGTTGCACATACGTGACTTCTGCCAGCTTTGTAACACCGTGTGACAGATGCTTTAAGTAACACGCATAATTAAATAAGACCGTATGACATGCCTTCCACACCCTGGCCCGCCCACTCATAACATCTCCTGAGCGCTGTGAACATTTTTGTCTTGGCTGTCATTTATATACGTAACCGCCCGACCTGTCAACTCCTGGCATGTGACTCCCCCCCCCCCCCATGGTGTGTCACGTGAGCTCCTGATTCGACCTGTCTGTCACCAGCCAACACGTGACAGTTGTTGGCTGTCATGTGTTTTTTTCTCCTGAGCATAAGACAACTTGGCATTCCTGACACATGACTGTTTTACACACGTACATAAATATATACATACGTACATATACATACATACAGATACATACACACACACATACAAAAAATGCCTACACGTCCTCACACACACACACACACACACACACACACACACACACCACGTATAAACAAACAAACAAATAAACAAATGTCTCGCCACAACAAAACAAATAATTCGTTTTAGTAACACAATAAAAACAATTGACTTTTTTTCTTGTTTACCTGTTTGAGTTTACGGTCAAAAGAGAACTTAGGTGCAGTTAATGTTGTAATACTTGTATATATATCTGTTGTGCTGGGGGGACACTGATGCATTTTTTGTTTTCCAGTTTTCAAGCTCCAAATTTGTGTGTGTGTGTGTGTGTGTGTGTGTGTGTGTGTGTGTGTGTGTGTTTACTTACTTGTAAGATATAATGAGTAGGCGGCGATACATGGTTAAGTAGGTCAAATAAGCCTCAGTCTTAATAAGTCCCAGTCTTAATTAGGTCTCAGTCTCAGTAGGGTCTCAGTCTTAATTAGGTCTCAGTCTTAGTAGGGTCTCAGTCTTAATTAGATCTCAGTCTCAGTAGGGTCTCAGTCTTAATTAGGTCTCAGTTTCAGTAGGGTCTCAGTCTTAATTAGGTCTCAGTCTTAGTAGGGTCTCAGTCTTAATTAGATCCCAGTTTTAATACGTCCCAGTCTTAGTAGGTCCCAGTCTTAATGCGTCCCAGTCTTAATGCGTCCCAGTCTTAATAGGCCCCATTCTTAATTAGGCTTTCGTGCCCAATTTGAGCTGAGGTGTGAAGGTCGTGTTTGGGAAGAGAAGAGGGGTGGTGTGAGGTAGGGGAAGGAGGGTGGTCGTATGAGGGAAGAGAAGAGGGGTGGTGTGAGGTAGGGGAAGGAAGGCTAAGGTATGGAAGTGGTCACAATCAATACCTTATCACCTTGGGTCGATATTCCTCACCTGACAACACCACCTAACACACACACACACACACACACACACATTTGTTGGGATTCTGTCCAGGGATATTTTGTCCACTGGGCTTTCTATTCCGGTGGGATTTGGTCATATTATGTGCTATTGAGTCCAGCGGGGAACTCATCCGTGCAGTGACCCTCTCCCGTGGGCCAGTGTGCGTCGTCGCTTACACTCCGGTGGTGGGGGGGTCTCGGCCTTGAGATCGCTTAACTTCCAAAACAAAGCCCGCTTAGTGAGAGAGAGGGGGATACTGGTTCACCTTGGTTCCCTCCATCCCTAGAATACTAAGTGGATGGTAGGAATCTCTCTCTCTCTCTCTCACCTACAACTGTGTTCGTTAATTTTCTTTCTGTCTCATTGTCTAAAGAGAGAGAGAGAAACCATAACCTTTGAGTATAACTTTAATATATCCCAGAATCCCAAAATTGATCCCAGACTCCCTAAATATATCCCAGAATCCTTAAATTTATCCCAGAATCCTTAAATATATCCTAGAGTCCTACAGTTAATGTATTCTAGTGTAATATAAACTTAAATAGGACCCCGATAAACCCTCTTCTCATAACTAAGTTTAGTTTAGTTTAGTCTGTCCTTGCAAAAGGGGGAATTCTCCTAGGAAATGTTTATCCTAGCAGGTATCTTATTTTAGTTCTTATCTTAGAGGGTGTGGTATTATCCAAACAAGTATTTCGTCCAAGTTGTTATCTTAGGAAGTGTGATGTATCTTGGTCAGTATTATGTTATCCTAGCATATGTTGTGTTATTATTCAAAGCCATGTGAAGTTATCCTAGCAACTGTATTGTCCTATGAAGTGTGAGGTTATCCTAGTATGATCACTGAAATCTTGTGAAATGATCCTAGCAAATAGAAATAATCCCAGTAAATCAAGATGAGCGGAAATATCCCAGCAAAACATGTGAAGAAGGAATTCCTAGCAAACTGTGACGATATCCTAGTAAGATCAAGAAAACTAACTCATATTGTAGTGTTATCCTAT